ATCCAGTGATGTACATGAGAGCAAAGGCTCTCTCAGGTCTCTCTCTCTATATTGGCTCAAACACAGCAGTGGTTGCCATTGGCTCCCACTGCTGTTAATCACAGCCAGTGAGCAGGGAGGGGGTGGGGCGGGTTCAAGCCACTATCGGTGTGTCTCATAGACACACAGAGCTAAGCAAGCAACACAAGCATGCAGAAGTGTCTCCAGAGCAAGCAGCTTGCTTTGGGGCCACTCAGTGGGGGGGAGTCAGGAGTACCGAAAGGGGATCCAAAAAGATCGGGGCTCTACTATAATCATGCTTATTCATCATCAAATGAGCAGGAGGGTGACATAGGTGTAGGATAAATAATGAAATAATATAACGTATTATGCAGATTTGTGTGAATCACTGGAGTGTCTAAACAGAATTACATATTCACAGACCTCTTCGCACTCTGTAGTTGGAGCGGTGACACCACAATTACTCTTTCAGTTTTCTGTGTCACCTTTCCATTCCCAGATTACTAATCGGACAATGGATCTGTGTCATGGCATGTTATTTCATCATGTATCAATGGACTTTACCGGTATTGAAGGGGAGGACACATAATTCATAAATAATGATACTTTATTACAATCAGATTAAACAAAGGTACATCAGGCTGAAGCCAAATTAAAAACAATACACACATTACTTAATAGTGAAAATGACTGCTAACTCACTAACACCACTAATATTTTCCTGTAAATTACACTTGAGCTGATTTGTCAGATATATAGTTGTATAGTGTGGTTGCGAGTCCTCATGAGTCAACACATTTCTCCCTTTCTGCTTCCTCAGGGTGCATGAGAATTAAACAGTTATCACTGAACATGCAAAGAAAACAAAAAACACATACAGTATATAGATATAATACAAAAAGAAAATCAACAGTTATAAGTTGCTCCCCTGGGGTGGGCAAAATAAATAAAAACAATAGGTCATACATAAGCATGCTATATGTGACCCATTGTTTTTATTTTTGAATTTTCTTACTTTAATGCTGTCATGTTAGCAGGACAAGTTTTTCTGCCACCTGCCATCTGTATGGCCTCCTTTTTGGCTCCGGTGCCCACCCCAGGGGAGCCCCACCATGTTACTTACACACATGAACAAGGTGCTTTGCCTCTATATGAGATACAATTTATAAGTGTTGATTCTGATTTTTTTTTTTCTTAAAGAAATGTTTATTTGAGTTTTGACAATATATATTTGTAATACATTATCTGGGTAATTGAAGCAGTAATAACATCTCAAATATGCTTTCAGAACCAGAAAAGGAAGCAATCACATAATATTGAGACATTAAGATTGAGAATAACAAAGTTGAAAACACCGAACTCTTGTCTTGGTCTAGACAATAGATAAGGAAAAAATCCAGAAATGAGGAGATGGAGGTAGATGATGGAGGAGGGGGATCAGTGGGACTGGAAATATAATGGGGAGAAAGAAAGAAAGAAAGAAAGAAAGAAAGAAAGGAAAATAAAAGGAGAAAGGGGGGGGGGAAAGGGGGGGGGGAGAAAGAAAGAAAAAGGAATAAAGGAAGAAAAGAAAAAGGAAGGAAAAAAAGGGGGAAAGATAAGTAAAAAAAGGAAGAGCACAGAGAATACCGGGATCTCAGATGGCTTATGTTGATTCTGATTTTTGTATTATATCTATATACTATGCTGTACAGTATGTGTTTTTTGTTTTTCTTTGCATGTCCAGTCATCACTGCTGAATGCTCATGCATCCTGAGGAAGCAGAATAAGAGAAACACACTGACTCATGAGGACTCATGACCACACTATACAACTATATATTGGACAAATCAGCTCAAGTGTAATTTTCAGTAAAGTATTAGTGGTGTTAGTGAGTCAGCAGTCATTTTCACTATCAAGTAATGTATGTATTGTTTTTAATATGGGTTCAGCCTGATGTACCTTTGTTTTAATCTGGTTGTAATAAAGTATATTTTTTATGAATTACTTGTGCTCCCCTTCAATGCCGGTAAAGTCCATTGATGCATGATGAAATAACATGCCATGATGCAGATCCATTGTCCAATGAGTAATCTGGGAATGGAAAGGTGACACAGAAAACTGAAAGAGTAATTGTGGTGTCACCTCTATGACTACACAGTGTAAAGCGGTATGCGAATATGTAATTCTGTTTAGACACTCCAGTGATTTACACAAATCTGCATAATACCGTATATTATTTCATTATTTCTTCTACACCTATGTCACCCTCCTGCTAATTTGATGATGAATCAAGGGGACGATAGTAGAGATTCTTTGTCCAATTATCAGACTTGAGATATGGGAAACTGAAATCGAAAAAAAGCAGCATCACATGCCTGATTATGCAGTATGGAAGTATGGATAAATTCCCGAGACTAATGCAGGCCATAGTTGGGTCGAAAATCGGCCGAATTTTCGCCCGAAATAAAATCGGGCCCCCCCCCCCGATTTTCGGATCGTTAGAATGGGCGATTTGGTCGGCGTTTTTCTGTATTTTTGGCCGTTTTTTTTTTTTTCCGGTAAAGTTGGAAAAATAATCGGCCGAAATTTTGCCGATTCGGACCGATTTTCGCGGATAATTAGTGGGCAAATCGAGCCGATTTTTTAACGATAAAAAATCTGCGCATGAGCAGCGTGACCTGCAAGAGGAAGACAAAAAGAAGAAAAAGAAGAAGAGGAAGAGGATGAAGAAGAGGATGAAGAAGAGGTTGAAGAAGAAGTGAGGATGAGGGATGAAAACGGTCAAGAAGAAGAAGAAGAGGATGAGGATGATGAGTGAGAAGAAGAAGCGGTATGGGATTGAAGAAGAAGATGAGGAGAAGAAGATGGAGGAATGGTGGATTGATGTGATGAAGAAGAAGAAGAAGGGTGAAGGGGCAAGAGGAGAAGAAGAGGAGGGATGAGGATGATGTGATGAAGAGAAGAGGATGTCAGGATAATTGAAGAAGAAAGGGAAGAAGAGGGATGAGGGTTGAAGGGAGAAGAAGAAGAGGGAGGATGAAGAAGAAGAAGAAGTGGATGAAGATGAAGGGAGAGGATGATGAAGAAGAAGAAGAAGAAGAAGAAGACGAAGAGAAGAGGATGATGAGAGAAAGAAGAAGAAGAAGAAGGAGGATGAGGATGAGAAGAAGAGGAGGAGGGGGGGATGAAGAAGAAGAAAGAAGAAGAAGAGAGGAGGAGGAGGGAGGATGAAGAAGAGGGAGGAGGAAGACGGGGAAGAAGAAGAGGATGAGGATGATGGAAGAAGAAGAGGATGAGGATGAGGAAGAAGAGGAGGAGTGGGAGGGGGATGAGGGAAGAAGAAGAAGAGGAGGAGGAGGATGAGAATGAAGAAGAAGGGGGGGGTTGAGGATGATGAAGAGGAGAGGTGAGGATGAAGAAGAAGAAGAGGATGGAAAGGAGTAGAAGAAGAAGAGGATGAGGATGAAAGAAGGTTTTTGGGATGAAGAAGAAGAGAGGATGAGGATGAAGAAGAAGAAGAGGATGAGGATGAAAGAAGAAGAAGGAGAGGATGAGGATGAAGAAGAAGAAGAAGAAAGAAGAAGAAGTAGGATGAAAATAAGAAGAATTTGAGTCAGCAAAAAAGTATCTGTCAGCAGAGAGCTCTGCTATTTCTGACAGTTCTCTGACAGTTCTTTGACATTTACAGCGGTTGAAACATTGTATCTATTTGTTTCCGAATAAAAAACATCTGTATACCTAAATGGGAAACAAATAGATTACAATGTTTCAACCGCTTGTTAAATGTGAAGGAAACTGTCAGACAATAGCGAGCTCTCTGCAGGGACACTTTTTGCAAGCTGTAGAAGGGACTGAAAATCGGACCGATTTTTTAAACCATAAATGGTAACGTCGGCCCGCTTGAACGAACCAGAATTTTCGTTTTTTTAAAAGAAAAATCTGCTCGTTTTTTCTCCCCATCTATGGCCTGCATAACTGAAGAGGAATTGCAAAATGTCTTTTTACCTGGGTTATGTTTCAACTTTGTGATTAGTTGCTTTCCTGAAGTTCCACTTTAAATCAATGTGTTTATCAAGCTCCTCTTATACATAGCCCAAGGGACCCTTTGGCTGCACACTATAAAAGTCATGATAATTGAAGGCATTTCTGTTAGGTAGGCAATTTTACGTGAAACTGCCAAAGATGTTTCCCTGTTTGGATCTGGCGTGGGCTTTTAAAGTACTGTTACATTTATCTATTATGTGGTTTGTGTGATCTACAAAAGACAACAATGATGAGAGGAGAAATGATGTGTTTTTCCATTAAAGTTAGTAAACAAGAAGAATCCGTAATAGTACTGTAAA